TCCCCTCTTCTCTCTCTCTCTCTCTCTCTCTCTCTCTCTCTCATCTCATCTCATCTTATCTCATCTCATCTCATCTCCACCATAAAAATGCATGACTACTCTAGATCTAGCTATTCTACCAGACTGAAATCTACCTCATTCTAACTGTACTATCTAGTCCACATTTCTTTATCTTGTCTTAAAAAATGAGATGAAAGACTTTTTCTTTATGTCCTTTAACCCTCCATTTTCAGTATTTACTTAACTGTGCAAATATTTCCATTGAGTAGAATAGAAACTGCTTCCTGGTTGGGATTTTTGTTTTTTTATTTTGGCTTTGTATACTCAGCATACAAAGTGACTTACATATAGTTAGTAAGTGATTAATAAGTGCATCCTGTGAATAAAAGGTTCTAGAATTTTGCCTGAGACCTATGTATGCATCACTGAACTATGTATTTCAGTAACTGTTCTCCTACTCTTTTTTGAAAAAAAATTGAAATACCAAATAAAATTTTAATAATTATCCTTCTTTTTAAATAATGGTACCATACTTGTTACTGATCAATTTAAATAATATGAAATTATAACAAAAATCAAGAAGGAAATATCATTTTCAACAGAAAATTGAAAGTAAGAATTTTAATAAAACATTTAATTTTTAAACAGAGATAAAATTAACATTTACTTACATATTACATAGAAACGAGTGTGGATTAAATACTTAACCTTTAGAATAATAAAATATGTAAATACCTCACAGGGTTAAAAAATATATATTATATTGACCAATTGACTTTCCAATACCTCAGGCTGTCTCTGTTTAATTACAAAAAAATACTGTAATAAAATTCCCCCAAAAAATATTACAGACAAATGAAATTTTTCCTTCAAAAACTAAATTTCATGCCAATGTCAAGATTTTCAGAAACTCAAATGAACAGGGATGTGATATGCTGAACTGTTTTCTAGATTGTTTTAGGAATTCTTGAAAAAGGAAATTTTAGATTTGATGAAAGAAAATTCTAGGGCAGTTGAAAAAAAGGGTATGTGCCCAAAAAAGAGTCAAAGAGAATGAGGATGAAACTTGTTACCCGTCTCTCATCAGAGATGAGGTGATGAAGCTAAAATGCAGGAGACACACATTTTCAGATATGGATAACATGGGAATTTGTCTTTCTGGCTATGCAGCTATGTATTGATGCTTTACTTTTTACTGCAATTTTTTTTTTGTTTTATTTTATTTCTGAATTTGGTCAATTGGGAGAATAGTTTAGTAAGAGGAACACAGCATAATTATTTTTTTTCCTTAATTGAAATGAAAAATAAAGAAAAAAGAAGAAAATGGGTATGTGTCAAAATTTAAAGTAAAAAACAAATCCTGAAAACAATATAAAGGAATTTTGAAGTAATCATTTGGAAAACAGAGAACTTTTCTTCATTGAACAGCTAAGAATTGGGAAGATTCCATATGACAATTTAAATAAAACCAAGAAAAGTCATTCTGATTTTTCTCCAATTTCTTCAGACTCAACATTTTAACTTCAAAAAGTTATAGTCCAGAAACAATTTCATTCCACCAAATCTTGCAATTTTTCCAGCATTCCCATTTATATGTGTATACACTTTAAATAAGTATGGCAAAGTACTACTACTCACATTCCTCATCACAGTATGAAAGTGATGCTGGTATCCTAATGCGCATAAGAGGCAAACACAAGCTCTGGCCATCTCTACGCTGATGGGAAGGGCTCAAATATGGATCTAGCAATGAAATGCATGTCTGAATTCTGAAAATCAAAATTTTGTAATAACTTTTGTAATAAAAAGTTCATTAGCTATGTTTATTGTCTACAAGGCCACAAGTTTTTTAAAGTTATTGGGATTTCTAATCATGGATCCTTGAAATTTCAAAGCAATAGTAATAACTTCTCTTTAATCTGGCATATTGGGATTTGCAAAGTACATAACATAAGTATCTTTTTCAGACTAAAACTTATTAAAATATGTATAAAATTATTCCTAAGTGGGCATTTTTCCAACTTACATAGTATCAATGGTATCCTTAAGATTTAAAAACTAAATAAAAATAGATAAACTAATAGAGATAAAAATGGCTACTGCTAGCAAAGGACTTCATTGTGGCAACTGCAATATGTCATGAAAATTTCAATACATCTACTTACAGCATAAAAATATATAAATTAATCAGAAAATTGCATTTTAAATATAGAGTATCATCAATTTGATATACTATAATGGAAAAGGTCCATAATCTCTTATGTCAATAATATACAGATGAAAGGTATTTAATAGTAGATACTACTTCAGTAGACAGTAACAGCTATGAAGAATGATTGATTCAATATAATATAGATTGTGCTAGTATCCTACTAGAGGAAAACACACACACAAACTAGATTTAGACTTATAATTTGACTTAAACTTTGAAGTTTGCACAATCTCTTCTTCCTTACAAGGAATACAGGAGGTCTTCATTAGCTAGAATAATAAAAGTCAAAATGCTTTCCTTTGGGTGTACACAAAGAGAGCCAAGTACTGCCCAAATGATAACTCTGGAGTCATCCTACTTGAAGGATTTCCTATTATAAAATTTTTGCTTGGGGACCATAAAAATGAAGTGATGATTCTTCAACTGATCAATTTGGTTTATAAAACTATCTGGTTTGGGGATTACTGTTATTATTATTAGTAGTATTTGCATCATGGACCCTTTTGGCAGTATAGTGAAATCTATGAATCTCTTCTCAAAACAATATTTTAAATAGGATAAAATATATAAGATTCCAAAGGAAAAGAAACATTTTGAAGTATACTTATCCATATGCATGTGTGTGTATGTGCGCACACACATACCTGTCTGTATGTGCTCATGGGTGTATTTATTCACAGAACTCAGGTTTAGAACTTTGCATCTAGATTAATTCCTAAGCGTTCTTGAAATTCTGAAATTCTTGAGGTAGCTTGGATTAGTGGATAAGACACTAGACTTCAAGTCAGGAAAACTTGGACTCAAATCTAGGTATTCACTAACTGTCTGACCTTGGGCAAGTTGCTTAAATTCTTTATGCCTTAGTTTCTTCATCTGTAAAATGAAACTTCTGGCCTACATGGCCTCTAAGATTCCTTCCTACTCTAACCCTATGATCCTCTGATCCTCATTGAATAGAAATTCAAAGCTAAGATTGTTTCAGATAGTCACTTAGCACCACTCTGCCCTGCAGATCTCATGCAGAATTTACAGTCTTGATGATGGGCACGATTTGGAAAACATTTTTGCTTGAAGCAATCAGCTACAGGTTACCTACAAAGCTATAGGAGCATCAGAGTTCCAGACATATCCGTTGTGATAGGCTAAGAAAGGCTGTACTTGCCTATGACTAGATCAAGAGTTATGGTTGAAACAACTATGGGACCTGTATATCCTTGTATATTTGTAAAGAGGTGTTCATCGGAATAAGGATAGCACTACTCAATCTCTATCCATAGGGGAAAGAGTCTCCTTTGACTTAATAGCCCCCCAATACCTTTAGAGCTTAAGTGTGTGTTTTTTAAGGGAGAAGTTTTAGTGGATTTTATTAATTTATTAATTATTTGTTCATTTGGTTTACTCTTGATGTTTATGTTTTAGTTCAATTATCTTAAATATTTAAGTATTTTTACTTATTTCAACCCTGAATTTCCTACAGTTACTTCTTTCCACCTTGTAATAAACATACATCACACAATCTTGCTGATACTGCTGTGATTGCTGTTGCTGTTGGTTTGCATTTTTGCCTGTGTATATCCTTACTCCTCCTTAATTTCCCATGCTATCATTCTTGTCAGATGGTGCCTGAAACATGGTGGTGACACAAAACATTATTTTTTTTAAAGAAGAAAATATAAGTATGAATCTCTTCTGAAGGCCAACTCTGATGTCCTGTCACAAAGTAGAGGTGATCCTATATTACAAAAGGCTATTCCAGTGGCCCATGACCTCTGTCAGGTCCTACCAATGTGGAAGGACTTTAAGCCCAATAACAGACTGCTGTTGTAGGAACTGCTTGTCTAAGCTGATCCACAGTGTGGTGTGATGTGATGTGATGTGTGTCTCTGCGTCTGGCCACATCAAATCTTTTAAAAAATCTGCTAAATCATGTTGGGGGGAAGGGAGAGAGGTTTACAGTCTACCAACAAAATCACTTTCTTGAAGTACTGAAGTACAACAACTTAATTCAGGAGTAAAATCAATAATAACTCTTTTTTCCTAAATCTTTAGGACAGGGATTCTTAACTTCTGTGTGCGTGTGTGTGTGTGTGTGTGTGTGTGTGTGTGTGTGTGTGTGTGTATGATGAGTTTCACTGTCAGTATGGTAGAGCTTATGGACTTCTTCCCATAATAATCTGTTTACATGCAAAAAATAAAATGCGTATGATGAAAAGGTGGGCAATTATTTTGAAATGCAATTATGAAAATATTAAAATAAGCAAGTTAACAGACATTCCCTACTGAAGGAGAAGGAAGCAATATCTGTGGTGTGAGCTATTTTGATCCTAACTCTTATACAAGAGAACAAGTTAGGGACAAAAATTAGAATTCTAATTGGCCCTGGTTTTACAGGTTCAAACAATATTACCAGAGTAGAACAAAGTTGTTTACTTATTTCTCATTCTGCGTGTAAACCTGAATTGTATGACAATTAATTTGTGTCATCTTAAAAATAAAGGCAATTGTATATGTTATTAAATGTGAACAGTATTAGCCTGGCTAAGGAGATAAAGCAAGAACCTTATAAATTACCTCACTAAACAGCCATTTAGCATGATTAACCTGTTCCCTTCTAAACTCTGCGTAGATTACTGTCAGAGACGAGCCACTTGGAAAAAATCCAAGCAGCTCTGTCCATGAAAAGCAACAACAAACTGGTTTTAAGTGATTTCATTGGGAGGCAACCAAAGATAATTCCTGAGGGACAACAAAAGTATTCAGATTCAACTGTCTCTCAGCATTCACATACCAAGGTGTTATTATTCAGATCCATCTTCCCAGCAAAAGGCCCCCATGTTGTTCCAACCGGAAGTTGCTGCCGACTCTGAATCTTGCGCTCCCCATCCTTCTGGACCACCTCCAACTCTCCTGCAGACAAAGAAAACAAGCCATGTTTAGAGTACTTTCACTTGTGCCTTGACAACAGCCACCTCTGTCTTTGTGTTTGTTTTACATGCACAATGTTCTGAGGACCCACATAATGAGAATTAATTATGCTTGTCTGAAAAACAACTGATCTTGTCATCCTGAGGAAAGAAAGGAAAAAAAAAACTAAACCTTTTTCCTTATAATTATATTCAAATTTAGCTTATGGAGCCCAATTTCTTTCTCACATCTTTTCAAACATATTATACTCTGAAAGCATTTCTATTTAGCGAGCTTTTGAGAATCAGAGGGAATAACCCTTCCTCAAATGGCTTTGTTCCAGGTCTAGGGAATGGAAGAAGAAGTAGGAAAACATACTAGGGTTAAAACCCTTAATATACTTGACTGTCAAGGTTACTTTAATGGGGCACTCAATGTGAGTTTATTTACTTCACAATAAGGGATAGGGAAACTTTGGCAAATGACAGTCCCTCATAGCTATTCAAAGAAATTGGATAGAAAATTGGTAGATGTTTTAGAAATCCCTCTATTGTTTCCATAGTGTACTATTTCTTTATGTAGATAAGAATAAGTATCTATACTCATCATACACAGAGATGTATTCATTCAACTAAATAATTTTTATAATATATATATTTTAAATAGTCCCCTTTTTTTAGGATATGCCCAGCAATGGAAATAATAGAAATGAAACCAGAATGATTTGGGCAAAAGCTGACCCTCTAACCTCACACCTCCCCTGCCACTCTGTTTTAATCAAACCATAGCAATCCTTTACCTTCTCATCATTTCCCACTATCAACCACAACTAACTGATGAAAGAATGATAAAAAGGGAATTTCTCAGCTTGATTTACAATCCCTCAGAACTGACAGAAACAGAAACAGAAAACGTCCCAAACTGTGGCTTTAAAGTCTCTCGCTCCAGTTGTCTAATTTATGTCAACAGTGACACAACCACTTTATCTGGCAGTTTTCTAATTTCAAAATGTAACTTTCACAAAACATTCATTATGTTTTCTTGTTAAGTGATATTTCTATTCTACATGCTTGGTGCTGCAGCCACTATACTAAAATGGTGGGCATGGGCACTCACTAAGTTTACTCTTAAATGCCCATTGCCAAAAGCTAGCATGAGGATATGACTGGTAGTGCAGATGTTAGTTATAACATCTCTCTTCAGCCAATAGCCATACTTTGATGAAAACATTTCATTCTGAGTTGCTGCTGCTGCTGCTACTGTTTTAGCAGCACAACCTAGTTAAATTTGGGACTTTTCTGCTCATGTTTAAGTGGTAGTAATACCATAGTCCCTATCCTTAATACAATAGCCAATGAAATATCACTGAATTGATAGTATTTAAAACATTCCTCAGCTGCTTTGATATCCATTAACTATTAAGACTGAATTTGCTAAAATAAAAAAAGTCCACAGAGAAAATTCATTCACATAAGTAGTATATTTGGGCAGTGAAAACATCTTAAAGTAGTAATTCAACAAATGACACCAACATTGCTTAAATGCAAATCCACAAACCTGCTATTCAGTTTGCTTTGTTTTATTTTTATGCCCATCTTCTGGCACAAAGTGGAAGACTTGTTCACATGGTAATCCTCAAGTTTTCCCCTACCTCCTGGCTCCTAACCTTGGTAAATGATAGCAATTTAGCAATAGCTCAGGATTGTAGAACATGAACACACTAACGGAATCAGCAGTTCCTCTGTCTGGGGTAAATTCATCTGGGTGTGGGAGGGTAGCAGAGCACAGTCTGCTCCGGGTGCACTTCTGCCAGGTGAGGGTAAAGTCTATTCCCTAGAGAGTCCAATCAGCACTCTTATAGCATTGTCAATACCCAGCCCCTGGGAGGAGGTTGGAGTGAAGGTTTCGTGGCAGAGAACCAGGTAAATATAGTCTATAAGAGGACCACCACTCAAAGGAATGTTGTTGTGGGGGTGGTACCCTGGAGCAAAGCCCTGATCACTCTGTTCTGTTCATTATTTTGCTAAAAATCAGTGATATAAAAGCAAGGGACATTTAAACCCCAGATTTAGGAAAAATAATAATTGACATTTACATAAAAACAATACTTCTTATTACCATATTTAAATCTTAATTACTAAATGTCAAAGAGAGATAGATCAGTTGTTTCTAGCATATAGTTTATCTCCAACACTTCAATTACTCGTAAAACAAGATTTTTCTGCCTTTTAGAAATGGGCAAAAAAATCCTAACATATTTGATTGAATTGTTTATTCTCGAAGTATTTTCAAATTTGAGAAATATTTCTTGTCAAAGAGAAATCATCCATAAGGGTAGACATACATACAGTTATCAGGCAGGTGTGTTCTTTATAACTTAGAACCTTCCCAGCTTTCTAGTATTTTCATATTACTCTTACCCACACACTCTATGTAGAGAACCCTATCGACCTACTTGCTGTTCACACAGAGCTTCATCTCCTGACCTTTTGTGTCTTTGAACTACAGTCCTCTCATGCTTGGAAGTATCTCCCTCCATAGGTTTCCATCTATGAATCTCTGGCTTCCTTGAAGATTCAGTCCAAATGCCTTCTTCTGCATAAGGCCTTTCCCACTGTCCCCAAGTTCTAGTAACCAGCCCTCTAGGGTTGTTTTCCATTTTCCATCCTGAGTCCCTTGCTGTTGTTATTGTTCTACCCTCCAAACTGGACCACCAGAGAACATGCCTGGTTGGAACTAAGCCTCTTGGCTCTGCAGTCTTTTGACTAGCATTTCATCTCCATGTTAACCATTTCATCTTTAACCCTATTGCCATAGATATCTTCCCATCTTCCACTTATTTCTCATTGTGACACAGTACTCAATGGCCATAAATCCTCACTACGGTGGCCTTGAAAGGGCTGGTTGATGGATGGCTGGATTATTCCATTCACTACCTTTGTAACTTCATAGGCCTTAACTCTTTTTGGCCTCCACTCTCTTTAAATGTATCATCAACCCCCATTAGAATGTAAGTTCCTTCAGGGCATGGGTTATCTTGCTTTTGTACTTGCATACCCAGCTCTTCAGACAGTAATTTTTTCAGTCATGTCTGACTCTTCATGACCCCCTTTTGAGATTTTTTTGGCAAAGATACTGGAATGGTTGGCCATTTCCTTCTCCTGCTCATTTTACAGATGAGGAAACTGAGGTAAACAGGGTTAAATGACTTGCGCAGGGTCACACACACAAAGGACAGTAATTAGCACATGATAAGTATTTAATTAATGCTTTTCCTTCATTCATCTATTTTATATATGTCATATATTTACACGTTTTGATAAACATGTTGTTTCTGTCATTAGAATAAAAACTCCTAGAGGCCAGTTTTTTTATTTTTCTTTTTTTCCTCAATGCTTAACCCAGAACCTGGCACATACTAAGGGTTTACTAAATGTTTCTTGACTGAATCTCAAAGAAATAATGAGAATAAGGAAGACAGCCAGACAAAGCATTATCAGACCCCAATTATATTATAAAGCAGTAGCCATCAGAACTATTTTGTAATAGTTGAAAATCAGACAAGCAGAACAGTGTAGCAGACTAGATAAGGAAAAACCAGAAACAATCAAAACCAGCACTGTGATGTTTGATAAACCCAAGAACATAAATTCCTGGGGGAAGGAGCCCCTTTTTGACAAGAACTACTGGGAAAATTGGAAAGAAGTTTTACAAGAATTTTTTAACCTAATTATTTTATTCCACTTACCAAAATAATATAAAAATAGATACCCAGCTGGATGGGTTCATCCAAGTAAAATAATAAATGTTTGAAGGACAATGGAAAAACAGACACACAGATGTACTATTTGGTGGACCTGAGAATAAATTAAACCAAAGTGAACTGTAATTTGGAATTATACTCAAAGTTGCTAAACAATACACGTCCTACAGGGCGGCCAGGTGACTAAGTGGATAGAGTTCTGGGCCTGGAGTCAGGAAGACTCACCTCTCTGAGTTTAAATTTGCCCTCAGACACTAGCTGTGTGACATTGGGCAAGTCACTTAACCCTGTTTACCTCTGTTTCCTCCTCTGTAAAATGAGCTGGAGAAGGAAATGGCAAAGCCACACCAGTATTTTTGCCAAGAAAACTCCAAATAGGGTCATGAAGAGTTGAAAATGACTGAAAATGACCAATAACAACATATCCTTTAACCCAGCTATATCACTTCTAGACATATTTAGTATAAAAGGGGAAAAATGAGATCAGAGAAAAAGGCAGAATAATGCCTGTATGTAAATATATATATATCATCTCTTTTTGTGGTTGCAAAGTTTTTTTTAAAAAACCACCAGAAACTAAAAGGATGTCCAATAACTGAGGAATGACTGAATAAATTGAAGTATATGATATATGATGAAATATTATGATGCTGTAAGAAATGAAGGAATAGCTGATTTCGAAGTGACATAGAAAGAATCATAATAAGCAAAGTGGAGTGAAATAGGTAGAATCAGAAGAAAAAATATTCCATAACAGCAATATTATACAAATGAACAATTGTGAAGATTTGTATAGACTGATGAAGAATGAAATAAACAGAAACAGAAAAACAATTTATAGGATAACAACCCTGTAAAGACAACTTTGAAACTCATAAGAACCATGATCAATATGATAAGCATCCACTGTTTCAGAAAATAATCACGAAACATACTTTATACTTTCTAACAGAAGGTGATGGATCTAGGGTACAGAATGAGTAATGCATATATATGTATGCATGCATGCATGTATGTATGTATGTATGTATGCCATGTATGTATGTTTTACAGAGCCAATAAAGGAATTTGTTTTGTTTGACTATACATTTGTTATTAGGAATTTGTTTTTCTTTTCTCCCAACTATTCCACAAAATGGGGGTGAGTATCAAAGGGAGAAAAATATATTTCTGGGGTTTTTTTTTAATACTTTCAATTGTACACAGTAACAGCCACATTGTATGATGACTGACTTTGATA